GTTTTTTAGCCTCTCTGGTTTGATATACGAAAAGGGTTTGTTTGTTTTTTCTTGAGGAGTTTTTGTTGATTTTGCATAAAATGGTGTTTTTTTTTCATGGGGTTGCTTTGTTAGTTTGAAATCTGAATTGGGTATTGACCTAATTGGATTTTTCTTGTTGGCAGAGAAAAGAGAATGTGACACCGGCTAGCTCTAAAATTGCGGTACTTTTTCATGTTCTATTAATATAGAATTTTTGGGGTTTGGTTATTGATCTCTGTTAAACTTTGTAATTGAGGATTTTGGTTATTTTTGGTGGATAGGAATTGACAGAATCAAGGCAAGAGCTGCTCACTAGGATTCAGAGCTTGAAAACAGTAAGCTCATATTAATAGCATCTGTAAAAATCTATGCTTATTTTGTTGCTATTAATGGTATTTTACTAGTGGCTTCTTTGATGTGCAGGATCTTCAAAGCTGGAGATCAAAGTTGGATGGCCAAGTAAAGGTCTATCGTGATGTAAGTACATCCTTCTTTCATTTCCATTAGTTGTAAATGAATTTAACAGACTAGTTTGAACTTGCAATGTACTGATGATACATGTTTTGGCAAATTGTGAGGTATGACTTTGGAGTAGGTTAGCGGTGATAGTTTGTTTATTGGCTGGTGTTCTCTAATCTATCTGAAGCTTAATATGTATCTTCTTGGAAATAGAAAAGCTGTGGTGACTAGTTTTGGCAAATACCATTTGAGGATAGTGTCATCAATGTAAATCTTTCATTTGACATTCTTAACGAGTTCTGGTTGAAAAGGTAACTTTAGAATTAAAAACGGATGGATTTCAGCCAGCTTTCAAAATATGTTTGTCCTTGGATAGCTAAAACATCTGTAGCGTCTCCTGGAAATGCGAGATGATTGGATCAGCAATTACATCTAGGAATATCAATGTGAGACAAGAAATTTTTAAAGGGAGAAGCACAGGCCAGGAGAAAGGTCAATATAACCAAAGTACAAGGATATAAGATATTCCCAGTTGGTGAAATTTCCTAATGATCAAACCAAAACTTTAACCTTTTCTTTTGCAAGTGATATATTTTATTAGAATCTTGAGATTGGGAGAACATCATTATTTTTCTTAGCTTTTTGTTCCGAGTAGGATTTTTTTCCATGTGATGTGTGCTTGATGAATACAAAGATCTGCATGACAGATGGGAGAATGCTCCTTTCAAATAGCATTTGATCATCTGGAAGCCTTGTACTTCTTAATCTTATCCAGCCATTTAGAAGTTTCTGTTTTTCTTTTTTTACTTTCAATCAGGAATTGTCGGAGCTCAAGAAATCGCTGAATGTTGAAGTGGACCAGCTGAGATCCGTGAGCAATGTTCCAGTCTATATGTTTTCATGATCTTTTGAGATTCAGTTGAATATTTAATATATTACTATAATATTTTTTGAACCAGGAATTTCAAGAGTTAAAAACAACTCTTCAACAACAGCAGGAAGATGTCACTGCCAGCTTAAGAAACTTAGGGGTGAGCTGTCTTGTGCGTTGTAACTCTTTGAATTATGAAATTATCTGATGTCCACTCAGTCTCAGCAACATTATACTTCTTCCTTGCATTTTACAACGTAAATTTAACTGATCAATTTGACTTGTGTGTAATATTGAAGTAACAGTTGAAAAGTTTAGCTTCACAGAGATAACATTTGATCAAAGTTTAGGATATGAATTCCTGAAATTTGAGAAGTTATATAACAATATTGTTGGTGAAAGGTGTCAAACATTTGGAATGACCTAAAATGGAATGATTGCCATATAAAATTGGACGGAGAGAACAGCCTTTTTTTTTTTTTTTTTTTTGCTTCAGATTGCAAAGGAATTCTAATTTTTGTTTGTATGGAACTCCCTACAGCTTCAGGATGTCTCAGAAGAAACAAAAGAGGCAGAAGATGCCAAGCCTAATAATGATGAAGAGAAGACTCAGGAGGAATTGCCAAAGGACAGTGGTAAAGATACTGAGCAGTAGACTGAATTATGCACATCCTTTCCCTAAACTCATCTTCTCCGATGAGATATGCTTGGGCTTGTGTGTTAGGTTAAGAAGTGTTCTATTTTCATCCATATGAGATCAAGTCTTTCATTGGAGTATGTTTGATGGGATAATTTCCCTTTTTTTCTAGCTGTTAGTTCAAGCATTCTACTTGTACTGCTATTAACTTGCATATTTTATGAGGGGTCACATGCCCTGCTGGTGGCTATGTTACTTTTATCTTATCTTGAGCTTTTCTAGAACTGAAACTTTACGCTTTCCAGTCTTCTTGCTTCTTGATCTAGTACGTAAGAACCTAAATAAGTAATCACAGGGTCTTGCGTTGAGTGCCTGATGTTCATATTGGTACCTAACGTTCTTACAGAATCAAATCCGAGAGTGATTAAGAGGCATACAAGGATGATCTTGAATTACAGTGTCCTAACAATCTTCTAGTTAACCCTTGAACTTCCTGCTCTTTTTCTACTCTCCTGAAGATCAAGATACAATTGTGTATCTGGTTACAGAGAAGTGAATGAAAGTTCTTGGGGGTTAACTTTTATACTAGTTTCTTCATAGCACCAGAAATGAGGGACTATGGTTTATGTTATCATTCTTGAGAAATATCAGAATTTGATGTTCGAGTTGGAACTTAGACTATTTACTTCAGGATGCAAAACCTAAAGTACATGATAACAGGGCTGCAACTCCTGTCAAATTCTTTATGATTCTATGTGGTGTTGGAGGTTTAAAATGAGACTCCATGTTCAAGGATGAGATATAACCATTTGTGCATTGATCATCAGTTAGTTTATCTCGTAGCCAGAAAGTGAATTTGCGTAGGTTCTGTTCTGTCTGAAGGAAAAGCTTGAAAATGAGGGTATTCAATTTCTCCTCTTATTTTCTTACCAATCAATCACATATGAAGCAATTTTAGAGAGACCCAAACAAAAGCCTATGGGGTTGCTTTTGTAATTGGATAACTAGCATTGAAAAGTGTCTTTATGTTGGATGTTTTAGCATTTTGATGATTCCTACCTTGTTCACGGCAATTTCTGTATTTATTATCCTTCTCGATTTGCTCCTCCTAGTTGATTTTTCATCGTTTCATTAAACAACATATAATTTTAGATAGGTGAACTTTAGATTGGGTAAATTTTAAAAATAGTCAGATTTACAACTGGTCGTTCAAAAATAGTCCAATTTCAAAAGTAATCGAAATTTAGCCACTTTTTATATAAAGATAAATTTGAGCGAAAACACTGTTCAAAACTCGGAAAATACTCCAGTATATTATGTTGGAGTTCCAGCATAAGTATACTTGAACTCCAGCATATTATATTGGAGTTCCAGAATAAGTATGCTGGAACTCCAGCATAATATGATGGAGTTCCAGCATAAGTACACTAGAACTCCAGCATAATATACTGGAGTTCCAGCAAGTATATTGGTCTAGTATAATATACTAGAGTTTGGAGCACCAGTGCACCGAACTCCAGTATATTATGCTGGACCGGTCTCTATTGCAGCAAAATAGTGGCTATTTTTCATTGACTTGGTAAACGCTGGCTATTTTTGATTGACCAGTCCGAAAACTGGCTATACCGTGCTATTTTTACCTTTAGATTCGTTCTATTAGTTGCAGGCCCGGTCCTCATGATAACTTGAAGTTACTTCGTTGGTCTATCTTACATGCATATATCATAATTTTGCGACCTTTTCATTACATTGTAAAAATGACATCATGTAGTTACTCTAAAGGTCTGATTCTGAATTTCAGTATTCGGTTCAATTTTTTGGAATATAAATATCCTAAATTATCTTAAAATTAAGATTTTTAGTTCACAGATTCAAGACAAAATAAGTAATGGTTAATCCCAAAATAGCAGACCTAAAAATGGTTGGTTGTGCACTTTGCCGCTTTTCATTCCTAATATCCAGAAAGAACAACTTTATGCAAAATGTTAAGGAGTCTGATGAAACTTCTAGTGACTGCACTAATAATTGGATGTGTATCATACAACAAAACGGATTTTCGAGTTATATGTACTGATAATTAGAAATAATTTATTTACTATAGTTTAATTTTTTATAGTAGGTTACTTGTCTTCATATCAAAGTTATCAACTTATGGTAACTGTGGACAATCACATGTAGTTTTTTCGAAAGTCCATCCGATAAAAAGCACTTTTTCAAAATAAGCAAATTATAAAAGTTTGGCCATACATGCTACGTAGTACGGTAGTAGTATAATTTAACTAATTGTGTTCCGTTACTACTAACCACTAATTTAATTTAATGGACTGTCAACGGTGAACAGCCACAATCCATTTCCTCATAGCCAACTGAAGAAATTACTAATTGGAAAAATAGCTAATGAAATTGTGTTTGAGGAGAACTATACGAAAAAATTCTGAGGAATTAGAGGCTTGGCAAAAAGAAGAATTTGAGAGGCAATTCCAAGAGGAAAGACATCATTTTGGCCTTGACTTTATAGTATATAAATTTTTCTGTAGAGGAGCAAAATGAACAAATTAAACAAAATAGGTGAAACAAACTCTTAATCAGCTAACATACCATAACATGCTCCAATGTCATTAAACACTCAACTCAGGCGGATATGCATCTTTTTCAACTTTGATCTACAGAAAAATTATGGTCTAGTAGCACTCTTTATTTTCTTATTTCTTAGTAGTAAATAAATTTCAATTTTAATTTTTGTCTTTTTCAGATGTCATCACGCTTACTACATATAGTTAGTTTTAACTGATTCTTCACAGAAAAAACTAAACCCCAAATAGAGAGAAAAAGTTAAAAAGAAAAAAGAGCAGCAAAGGATTCTTGTATAGATTACTAGTGCATGTAACCCAAAAGTAGTAGTAGTAAATAGTAAGTGCATGGCAGCAGGCCCAGGAGCATCTTATGTCACTATCTATCTTCCTTTCACTCTCATCTCTTAAATTCTTTCTATCAATTACTTTATACAAACAATATTTGTGATACTACTCCATTTTCTATCTGCAGCATTCTCCACTACTTTCTCTGCCCCTAATCTACTCATCTCTCCTTCTTATGGCCTCCTCTCCCTCTGCTGCACCTCCACCTGATCAAGAACAACAACAACAACAACAACAACCACAGCTTCCGCCCCTTCACTACACGGTCCTCTTTAATATTCTGTTTCCTAGTTTTACAATTTTGTTCTTTTTTTTTTTTTTGACTTAACCTGGTTTGTTTTGTTTTCACAGACATGGGTTTTGAAAGTTTCTATCCACTGTCCAGGCTGCAAGAGAAAAGTCAAGAAAGTCTTGCAAAGCATTGAAGGTTCTCTTCTTCCCTTCTAATCTTGCTTTCTTCGTTTAACTCTCTTCTATTTCGGGTCCCTTTTTAGTTTGTATATATGTCTAATAAAAAGGATTAATTAATGGACAATCATATCTATTTCTTGATTCACTCAAAATTTGTGAATATATATGTGCTCAAGTTAGATATATTATAGGAGTATATATATCTAACATCCATTTGTTACTATAGGAGTATTTATATTAACATAATGAGAATGTATACGGTAGAGCCAAGAATTCTAATAAGGGGTTTCAAAAAAGTGTAAATTGTCACATTTAGTATTTTTGAACCACTTTTGTCACTACATGAAATTTTTTAATTTTTTTTTAAAGGGATTCAAATATATATATATATATATATATATATATATATATATATATATATATATATATATATTGCTTGTTGTACAGTATAATTTTTGGATGAAAAGAATTCTTACGTGTGGTTATGCTACTATATATGAAAATAATTATGGGTGTTCTGTTTTTTTTTTTTTTTATTAACTTTGCAGGTGTTTATACAATAGATATTGATCCACAGCAGCAAAGAGTCATAGTAACTGGAAATGTTGATGCAGAGACTTTGATAAGGAAACTAGTGAAGAATGGAAGGAGTGCTGAGTTATGGCCAGAGCCAAAACCTTTAATAAAAGAGAAGAAACCGAAGCAAAACGAAAACAGTGACGACGATGAACAAGAAGAAGATGATGAAAATAATGAAAAAACAGCTGAAAATTCCGAAGCAAACATGAGAAATAATGGTCCTCAAAGACATGGTGTGAGATTTGGTGGGGTTGAGACTATTACGTTGGATGTAAAAGAAGTAAGACAAGATGACAGGTCGGCGCCGGAGAATGTTGCCGCTGTTGAGAAGTACCCGGCGGCGGAACAAAAGGCCGGCGGTGGCGGAGGGCAAGGTGGTGCTAAGAAGAAGAAGAAAAAGAAAAAGAAGAAGAGTGGGAATAGTAACTCAAATGCGACTGCAGGGTCTAATGGTGCACCGCCAAGCAGTGAATCAGAAGTGGCGAAAATGGGTCCCGGTCAAGTGATTGATCAAGCAAATCCAGGCCACTCATTTCAGCATCCTTATTCTAACCCGTACGATCAGAATCCGCCGGGTTATTGTGTTCCTCATCAGAGTTATGTGGTTAGTTACAATGCAGCACACCCTACCATAAGCGCTGCACCATCATATTACTATGTTCCATCCTCGCCGTACATGCACTCTGATTTATATTCCAAGCAATCTGCGCCGTTGGAGTCTTTTGAGATCTTGAGTGACGAGAACCCTCATGCCTGCTATATCATGTGATCATACTGCTGAAAGATAATGTGGCATATTGAGCTAGTATGAGAATTTTGGCAAGAATTAGAGTTTCATTTGCAGTTGCATTTTACTTTAATTTAGATTTAACATGTATGTAATAGGATCGTATCATTTCTCGATTTTGACGTTATATCATGACTAATAAACATATTGTAGAATGTAATATGCTACGTCTAATATGTAGTAATTGCATACTACTACTGGTAGAACTTTATGTTGTTTCAATTTACTAATCGGAGTGGATATGTGACGCTAACTAAACTTGTGATACTAAGGAGAGGGATCAAGATTTTAAGTCACTTTTAGAAGAGTGGAGAAGTAGTGTTGATCCGTTTGAGAATTAAAAAGCAAGGGTGAAGTGCACCGATTGTTTAACTAAAAAATGGAATTTTGACTAAAGCTATATTTTAGAAGAACACGGGTTACTGATAATCGCAAGAATATATAAAAGAGAATAATTTGAATAGCCAGAATATAATTGAATAAAGCAAGTAAATCAAAGTATATTCAGATGATTTTCCGTGTCTCTACAATTGTTCAGTCTTCTCCTTTTATAGCTATCTTAGATGTAAGTGCCTTGCTTTGGTCATAATAAAGTTATTATGGGCAATAAATGACATTGAATGCTACGTTACATAATCATTACATTTAAGACAGATTCTCTAACGTTTTCAACAGTTAATGCTTATCAAACATTGTATTTGGACCCTCGTATGCTGTCAGATTCATTCCTTCTGATTCTCGGATATAAATGACTTAAATAGGTACGGCGCCGTATCACTTGTCTGATGTCCCGTGCCTCTTCCTCTTTCTTTGCTCGTATCTGTTGTAACTCCTGACTCGTGGTTAATTGCGATTCTTTGACCATTTGACTAATCCACGTGTCTTGACACGTCACCTTTATATATAAATATAATTTTTCCCAATACAGATAGTCCCCCCCCTACCCCCCCCCCCCCCCCACTTTCCATTTATTCATCAGTTGAATATTTGGGAAGTGGATTTCATTAAAAGAGAATTTTTGTCACCATTAATGCTCTGACAAAATTGACGCTTCAATTGTCACTTCCATTTAATGCGTTTTTACACGTGTCATCCTCTTATTAGCTCTACAGTTTTGCAGCACTTTCTTAGGCTTTCTTTTCGGCTTCCCTGTTCACGAAGTGTCAGTTATCATTATTATGGTCCTTCCATCATTGTACTTTTTCCTTTTGCCGGCTGTCCATCAGTATAAATATAACTTCTTTTCTTGTCTTTTACCACATAAAGCGTATTGAACACTTCAATTCTTCAAATCTCTATTCACTTCTTCTTCACTTCAATCTTCTTCGCCATGACTTCATCAAACCCTAACCCTAGGAGAACCCCTATTTTAGATAACTTCCCCAATGCCCCCATTAGGCATAGAAGAGGGGGTAGACTCCGTAGCTTGGGGTCTGCTCGTGGTGGTAGCTCATCCACACCTTCTCCTAGTTCTCGACCCTCTTCGAGAACTAGAGGTTCCCTTTCTCAAAGGTCTTCTTCTAGGAACAAAGAACCCTCTGAGCCTTTACGTGAGCCTTTAGTTGAAGAGATAGTCCCAACAGAACTATCTTTTCATCATGATAGGGAATCTCTTAGGAACCAAGTTGCCACTTTAGATCGTGCCGATGCTTTCCCTACTCAAATTACAGAAATTTTAGCTCCTATAGTTCGTAAGGACTGTCACTGGAGTGATGATTTTCCCATTATCATTCCTAATCCAAATCAGAGGATCACTTCGTACATGATTGGATTCTCTTTTATTTATACATACCCTTTTACTCTAGGGTTCAAACCAGCCATTGACCCGGTCATTCTAGATTTTTGCCGTTTTTTCAACGTTTGTTTGGGTCAAATCGGTCCAATTGTATGGAGGGTTGTCGCCTGTTTGAGGCACCTCGCCAACTTGGCAGATGTTGGCTTTACTTTCCCTCACCTAATTCACCTCTACTCCCCTAGGCTTTTCCATAATGGCGTTTTTACACTAGCAGCAGGAGCAAGAGGGTTTTAGTGAGCCCCGAAGATGATAAAGACCGTGGCTGGTATGCTCGTTTGTTGCTCCCCCCCTGCTGGTTTAGTGGGTGAAGATAATGTTCCCTTCCCTGAGAAGTGAAACTTTGCACGTAAGAGTTATATCTTTCTCGTGCCTTTTTCTTTCAAGCTTATTAATTTCTCTAATGTCGCTTCTTTTCTTTTCTCAGCAACCATGGGTGTTGTGGAGAATGTGCCCAACTTTTGTAGTTGGGTAGAAAAATTGTTGAAGGCCGCTCCAATGGAGGGTAGGTCATGGAAAAACCTTTCCAACCGTTGCGGTTGGAAAGTAAAGACTCATGGTAAGAGTTTTTATTTTATCTTTCACATATATAAATATTTTCTTTTATTGTTCTAACTTTTATCCTTCTTTTTATCAGGATTTGCTATTCGAGGGGTTACTGCTGAGGCAGTTGCGGCCTCTCGTGACTCTTTGGGTACTCGTACCACTTCAGCCCGAGAAATAATCTTGGGTTCTTCTTCTGCAAAAAGAAAAGCTACTGAAGAAGAAGACTCAGAAGAAGAGGATGAAGGAGGCTCCCTGGTGAAGAGACCACGAGCTAGAAGACGTGTTGTATCTGACGACGAAGCTGAAATCTCACATCGTCTTCCTCTTTTCGAGCCAGTTGATACCCCTGTTATTATTCCTGATGATGACGTCACTCCATATGATACTTGTGAGTCCATTGATCAACTCTTTATCAGTGGTTTTGATAGTGGAAACTTAGGGCCTGTTTTAGATGAAATTCCCTTATCTTCCTTTTCTACTCCCGCACCTGTGATTCTTTCCTTACCTGCCTCAACTGTTTCTGTTCCTCCCTCTACTGTTTTTACTCCTTCCACCGCTCCTCCTTTGACAATTCCCCCACCTATCGTTCATCATACGGAGGTGGGTTCTTCAAGTAGAAGTACTGCTATGAGGAGCGTAACTATTGAAGTTCCTGCTGATAGCAGCCTCTTAAGGAAGTCAGGTCAAGCTGACGTTGGGCTCGAGCCTTTAATTGGCCCAATCGAGAAAGCAAAACTGGAGAGCCATAGCAACCTGACTTTAATGAATGACATAGTGCATGCCACTTTGAAGGTATATTCCTTCTTTCTCTTCTTTACTTTGTAAAAATTTCTATCTTCGAGATTCTTATTTCCCTTTCTTTTTTCTTAGGCCAATCTTATCGGCAGTGAGCTGATGAACAGAATCTCCCTCTTGGAGAAGGTAGCACGTGATTCAGAGAAGGTTGCACGTGATTCTCAGTTGGAAGCAATCAATTGGAAAGAACAATTTGACAGTGCTCAAATTGACATGGAGGATTTACAAGAGAGCAAGAGTACCTTAGAGCAGCAGGTGCGAGCATTAACTTTGGAGCTAGCGGTTATCAAGGCTTCCTTGAACCAAGCAGAAAAAGAAAAAGAACGCCTTGAATCCTCTTTTTCAGAACAACTGTCTAAGGCTAGCGAAGAGAACAAGGCATTGAAGGCTATGCTAAATCAAAAAGAAGTTTATGCTGGAGAGCTCGTGCAAAACTTAACTCAAGAACAAGAAGAGCTTCGAGTCTCTGCTGATAAGGTACGTGCTTTAGAGAGCTCTCATGTTTCTCTTCAAGCTTCTTGTAACTCCGCCTTGGCCAAAAATGAAGAGCTCAAGAATGAGGTGGCTGCTTGGGAAAAGGATTATAATATCCTTTAAGAAAAATTTGATGTTGAGGTAAGTTGGACTTTTTTGAATTCACGTCGTGATACCCTAATTGAAGCTGGTCAAGAAAACTTCGACCTGGAGTCAGAATTAGCTAAGGTTAATGAAACCATTGAACAAGCTCAGCAAATACAGGACTTTCCTTCTCCCGTGATTGAAGCTCATACGGGTATCACTTCTTCTTCAAGCCCAATCGAACCTACTGCCACAAGCCAGGTTGAAACCACATCTGCTGATGCTCTTGCTCAAGTTGAGCCTGTTGCTGTGAATCAAGATCAACCCGCAACCGTTGATGCTCCTGTCCAAGTTGAGCTCGTTGTTGTTGATACGTCTTCTTCATTTCCCACATCTTCTTAGTGAAAAACTTACATTGTCTTGAATTCCTTCTTTTTTGCAGGCACCACTTTGGAAAATTGTGTTAAAAATCCTTGGCCTCATTTGAGGGTTTATTTCAGAAAATTGTAATCAAACCCTTAACTTCATTTGAGGGTTGGTTTTGGAACGCAAGTCCCCAAGTCTTTTATGGGGCAGTTTGTATAAACAATTTCATAGTTTTATGACTAAGTTCGTACTTAGTCTTAAGTATTTAAGAATTTTTTTGTGTTATTATCTTAAACTTCTATTTATTTTATTCTTGCCTTTATTTCTAAGGACTTATAGAATAATCTGCATTTTTGTTCTTTAGAAAATGCTTTTGTTAACTTCATGAATAGCTAAAGTAAACATGAGTTTTATAAAAGAGGGCCCTTTTATATTTCGACACTTAATGAAGAAGACGTCTCAACTTCATAATGGTGTTAACATACGATAAAGAAATAGGAATACACATGTTTCTTTTGGAATAACATTGACAAGTTTTTATTTGAACTTTGTCTAGTTTTGAAGAATTCTTTACATGTATTTGAATTACATCTATAACTTTCTCGTAACTATTTTTCTTGTAACAGATTTATAATTAGATTACAAACACGAGGTTTTTCTTCATAACCCGTTTTAGAATAAAAACACGAGATTTTTCTTTATAACTCGTTTTAGTACTTGGCTTTTATCCTAACTACAGTAGGGTATTCTTTGGCCTTGGCTCGTGACTTTGTAACTTTTACTCTGCACTTGACTTTTCAGACTTTTTCAGGCTTGATTTCTCCTCAATCTTCTTTGCCTTTTTTATAACACATACTCGTGTGTATTATGTAGTCCCCCAAGTGTTTGAGCGTTGAAGTATGAAGCCTCGAGCACTTGATTGCTTCTCTCTTTTGGTCCTTTTCCTGAAAAGGAAAAACATACGGGACTCGGAGGTGCGATTTTAGATGAAGACTACCTAACCCGTTTATATTTCTATCAGAATAATCGTAACCCTAGGCCAGGAATTATAGTTTATTCCGGGTGCCTTACAGGTCGTGACTCATCATTTAGTACGGGCTAGCTTTTTGCCTATCATCTAAAATCGTTAGTAAAATTTTAACAATT